AGCTTTCTCAATAACATAATAAACGCCTATCTGCATTCCGCCATAGGGCCAGTTCTTCACATCCGCCTTTATAACCAGGGATGTTCTTTATAACCGTCTGGAAGATCTCCAGACACTCGCCGTCGTTACTCTTTCTCTCTCTATCGACAAACTCAGCCGGCCGTGCCCCTATAAATGCAAGGCCGAGGTAGCACCCCGGCAGTTAGATACAGTGCCCCTCCCAAGAGAAGATGCCGGTATTATACTTGATATTGAAGGTGAGCAAGGCCAGTAAGGTGTCTACGTTCGCGATGTCTTTTCCAAGGATATATAGCAGTTGGAGATTGCACTTTAGAACCAAGATAGCGTCGTACCATTTACACGGCGCATTAGCTACAACGTTAGTAGGTAGGGAGTAAAGACAAAGCTTCTTGACTTCTTTACTGTCGTTCCTATCTATAAGGCAGCCCGTGATACTAGTATATAGCTGCTTATACTGGCGGAGATATATCTACGACGTACCCTATAACTTGATCCGGTATATTTCACAAAGGTAGTCGAGGAAAACCATCGCTCTCGCTCGGCCTACGTCCTTGATCACATCTCGCCAGTGTCCGATGTCGATGAATGCGTAGTATCTAGAGGTTCGTTAGCAGAAAAGCCGATGGAATACGAGGCAGATGACTGGTTTACCTCTTCCATTTCCGTAGAAGGCCGATAAGGTTGGTCTTGGTCGTATCGGCATAGTCGGGCTGAAGAAAGTGAACGGCCTCGAGCTGCTTATAGAGGGCTTCGCGTTGCTCGGCCGTAAGTGGCTTTAGCTGTTTCGCAATCCGTTCCTCGGCTGCTCTCTGTTTCGCAGTAATGTAGAACTTGCTGTCGCTGCATCCGGAAACGGAGGCCTTCCGGATCGGGTATGGCGCTCTATCAGACTCGTGTCCTTATACAGCCCTACAGCGTACGCTATATAAATAACGCCCCTCCTCTCCGACGTCCCTTTCTTATACTCTCGACTTTCTCCCTCTCCTATAAGTCGAACCCCCCCCCTTTTGGAACACCCCACTTTTGGAACACTTGGCAGACCACACCCAAAAACCCACCCATCTTCTTCAACACCATGTATTACAACCAGTTCAACCCACTACAATATAGGAAGCCTCTAAACCACTACTTTCATACCCGCTCTCTTCAGCCATTATATCCTCGATGCGACCGGCTTCAATCTGGGCCCTATAGACCTGTTCAATTGAAGCGAACACGGTATTTGGGTCCGTTTGGACCCTCTTCCGTTTCGATGGCCAGGCTGCTTCCAACTGGGCCTTTAGAGCCTCGTTTTCCTGTTGCAACTAGGCCAATTTGACGTCTTTTTGTTCAAAGGCCTTTTCAACCTTCCGGAATAGTAGCCGTCGGGTAGAACTAGGCCGGTTGTAGCTCGCTAACTCGGTGTCACGAGTTGGCCTGAGGGATGGCCAAGAGGACCCACAAGTCAGGACGTAGGATGGACTGACAGCCAATCATTAGATAGCCAATCAGAACAGGATCACGATCAAGGCCAGACCACGCATCGTGATCCAGCATCACGGATCACTAGGATCACATCGTGATCCGTATGATCCGGCACCAAGGATCACCAGGGGGAATGGTGATCCAGTTAGTATATAGTCATTCGTTTAGGAGGACTCTAGAAAGTTCTTCAGTAAGCAATATAACTTGTTCATTGTGATTTGTACGATACAGTGAACATTGAGACCAGATCCTTATCTTATTATAAACCCTTTAGCTTTACTAGATCCCAACCCTTATATCATACCTTCAGTAAACCCTTATAGAGTATAGTTAAAACTCGATGTATTATACGTTGCTTACTCCTTTTGTTTCTATTACGGTTCAGATAAAGGTATTTAATATTATAAGCGACAACTATAAAATAACCTCCCTAGAGGAGAAGCTTAACAACGCTATTAAGGCCCTTTAGGACAAGATTACGGAGCTCGAGAAAGGCTCTAAGATCTAGTAGGATCTGATCAACGAATATATTAGTAAGTTCGACGATGTTAAAAGGGGTAAACTTAAGATCGAAGCCCCTAAGTGTCAGGCCGTGAGACCCGAGGGGTTGGTACACAAGAGTGAAGGGAGGTGCACGGGTGTGGTCGCAGCGATCTCACATAGAATTCGCAGATGGAACGGTAGCAGTGGATTGCTTGAGGTCAATACAAGATTGGAATTGAACTCTGAACCCCCAAAACGACTCTCGGGGTTCCTTCAAAACCCTCTTATCCCATCTCTAGATCGGCCAGAATATTCCCCCGTTCTTACTGCGATTTCCCCGCTCGGTCTCCCCGCTCTTCCTTATGCGGCCTTCGAGCCCTTCTTCCTGAAGATAGGGCGTTTGCCGCTGCATCCTTAGCTTCCAGCCCCATCTCCCCCCGCCTACAGTCAACCCTAACCCTGGTGCCCTGTGCGCCCTGACAAAGAAGTTTAATAGGAAGAAGGAAGACCTTATATAATTCCTTATAAAGCTAATGTCCTATATTAAATACTACTATATTTAGTTCCTAGATAAGGGTATTAAAGCCTAGTATATAGCATTAAGTATATAGATAACTAACTAGTTACTCATTAAGGGAATCCAGGACTTCCCCAATAAGTAACATAACCCGTTTTTTGCCACCCGCACCATACCATAGTCAAACATCAAGACCAGATCACCATCATGTCATAAACCCTTTGGCTTCACCAAATCACAACCCTTGTTATTATACCTTCAGTGAACCCTTGTAGAGTATAGTTGAGAGACGATTCGTCACACTGGGTAGCCAACAGGCACAAGCGATCATGGTAGCCCTGGGTAGCCCAGCTACCCAGGCTACCCCTGGAATAGGTAGATCACGGTAGCTAGGCAAGCAGCAGCGAGCTAGCCATTCTAGGTAGTACATAGTCACTCGTTCTAGAGGACTCTGGGAGTTCTCCAGTAAGCAATACAACTTGTTCATTATAACTTGCTCAGCATTGTGAACAGTGAAACCAGATCATTATCTCGTTGTGAACCCTTTGGCTTCACCAGATCACAACCCTTATATCATACCTTCAGTGAACCCTTTTAGAGTGTGGTTGGCAGACAATCCGTCATATATATAGATTCTGAATTTGATAGTTGGGGTGGTTTGTCATTGCTTGGGAACGGAGCAGAGATTCATATGCTTTATGTGATGTGTATATATGAGGCCTGAGGCGGCCATGGCTGGCTTTTGTCGGACGGGCGTAAGCCTAAGTACGGAATACAGAAAAAAGAGACCCCTCCTTCTTTCTGTGCTCCGCAGTCCTAAAGACCGCGAGGGATCTCCATCTGAGAGCAATTCTGCCTTGTTCCGTCCCGTCTGTCCTCGACGTCCCGGCACCCCCGCATCAGCCCGCACCTGCACCCCCGCCCGGCCCTGCAAGGCCCCGCAACAACACCATGATGCAGCAGCCCGCACCAACGGCATTGTCGGAATTGTATATCTGTGTCGGGAGTGCGAGTGAATTTGCTCGCAACCTCGAGGGCAGCCTGGAGGTCGTCGTCGTCGGTAATTCTGACTGGCCCAACCAGCGTGTCGAATAAGCCCGTCCACGTCCGAAACCGGCGGAGACTTTCTAGGAGACGCTCATCGGGATCAAGTGTGCTGAACCCGGGCACGAGGGTGTTGAGATTTTGATTTGCGGCCGACTCCAACGCGACAGCACCCAGAACGGCATGGCGCGGGAAATCGCCAAACACAAAGTACTCGTGTTAGGGATCGTCGTGCCAGGTGATGCCCGGCGGCTCGATCTCCAGCCATGCAGCGAGGGACTTTGCCGGGTAGATATGGTCCGTCAGCGCGCTCCAGGCTTCGAGGGGAACGATGTTGACTTCCGCTTCGCCCCGACTTAACATCCGGTGCGCAGAGTTGAGCGCCCAAAGTAGCGAGCCGGTGAGGGAAGTGATGACGAACGGTGCGTGGTAGTAAGCACGACGGGACTCCATGTGGGTGGAAATCCACGGCCGGAGCTCGTCGCGGTTAAAGTGGACATGCTGCGAGTCCCAGTGGCTGCACTCCAGGACGCGGTATCGGGAGCTTCTCGACTCGACTCTCCAGAGGAAGCGCGGGATATGAGAAGCGGGCGCTTATGAAGATGGGCGGGTTTATTAGCACGCCGGTCAAGAGTGAGAGCACGGGGACATGCATACCTGGCTGCGAGCCGTGTTGAAGGGAGGACATCTCCACGGGATGGCTCTGGTTGAACCACGGTGAGAACTGGGCAGTATTTCCTTGTATGATAGACTAGTGACGATGGGCCGTCGAGTTGAGATAATTCAGAGGCCAAACATGGGATTCCAGTCGGCGTTATGAATACCTTGACGAGATCACCCGTACACAGATTGTCCAGTTCATCCACCAATCAGTCAAGGATTTCTTCAACAACCAACTCGCGTTTCGTTCTACGTTCTTGTCATTCATCGCCTCTACCATATGTCCCCCTCCTCCGACGCCCGCTGGAGTGGAATTCCGCATGGCCACGCCTCCATGACCATGTCCTTGAACATCTCCATGTCATCAATGCCAGCATTTCTGACCCCATCTGGCCCGTTTATCCAGGACGCCCCATCCTCGACGTACCAACTCCATTGTTCCTCAAAGTTACCCGACAAGAAGGCCTGGATCAGTGATCCTGAAGATGGACCGCGAAGAAGGGCAGAGTAGCCTTCGTCATGGCGTCTTAGCACGGACAAGGCGGCCCATTTGATCGACTGGACCTCATTTTTGTCTTCTAGGAGTGCCGCCACGGCCGCGAGGCACTTGTCGGATAGGCTGGGCTGTGTTTGCAAGACCTCCAAGGCTACCAACGCGACGCGCTCCCTGACTTCGACGCCAAGGAATGCTACCACTAGGGCCTCGAGGCGCTCATCTAGTACGCTGGACCGTGCTTTCAACGTCTCTAAGACCTGCCGTCTGAGGTACCAGGACTCGTCTTCGAGGAGTTCTGCTATGGCTGTGCAGGGCACGTGGGATAGGCTGGACTGTCCTTCGAAGACCTTTAAGGCGGCCCATTTGACCGACGAGTCCTCGTCTTTAACGAAGAGTGCCGCCACAACCTCGAGGCGCTCGCTGGATAGGCTGGGCTGTGCTCCCAAGACCTCCAAGGCGGCCGGTCTAACGTGCCTATCTTCGTCTTCAGATTTGCCTTTGTCGCGAGCCAGGGCCACCACGGCCTCGACGCACTCGACGGATAAGCTAAGCTGTGTTCCCAAGACGTCAAGTGCTGCGCTCCTGACGCTGTTGCACTCGTATCTGCGGCTTGCCAGTGCCACCAAGGCCGCAAGCAGATTCTCGGATAAGGCACAGGAGTACCGTAGACTCCACAAGACGTTGGAACGGGCATACGACGCTAAGAACGTTGTTATCCAATACCAAGAAATTCAAGGCAGGATTTATCAGAATGCCAGGGACATAGATTTCAGAAAAGTTTACGACGGCGATAAACCAGGCAAATACCTTTTCTTTCACTACACTGCCTAGGGAGCTCGAACTAACCCCTCCTTCCTCGTGTATCAGGTGTATAGCTGTGACGGGCAAGTGGGAAGATGTGTGATGCAGAAAGGCACCGAAAAGAGGCCAAAGTATGGGTCCAAAGGTGCTGTGTGAGGAAGGATGGTGGTGGAAGATGGAAGCCGTTGGGCTGCTACTCCTCGTTCAGTCATCATTCTCAACCTCGGCGATGCTCCTAAACCTCGGCACCGAGTCGTCGACGGCAAGCAGCACGACGGGGAATTCGAGGCTCTGATCCCAGCAAACCGCCTCTCCTCCTTCTCCTCCTCCACTTTCTCCTTCTTCGTCCTCCTCTCCCAAATCCCCGTCATCAAGCCGACCCCAACCCCCATCCCTGCGTAAACCCCACCTCACCTCCTTCATAACCGTACCTTCCTGACTCATCGCACCGGCCTTCTTATTCCTCTCCCTCCGCAACTTTCCCTCCGACACCTCCGCAACACCCAAGATGCTCCCCCACTGCCCAGGATCAATCCCATGCTCCTTAGCCTTGTCATCCATGTTGAACTGGTAAAGCGGTAACTCCCATTCCCTGTACGTCTCCGCCGAGACAGGACTAGGCGGTGGGTTGAGCCCTGTGACGATGCGGAAGGTGCGAGCGTCGATGATCTGCACATTGAGGATGCGCGCGGCGCTGACATCCCAGACGCGTGGGTCTCTCGTCGTGTCGCGCTCAATACGTTGGACGATGCTGCCGCCAGCGCCGACGGCAAGCCGCTGCGGGTGCGACTCGGGCAATGCGGCGAGGTCAAGATGCTTCTCTGCGTAGGCGTTGGGGGATTCGCCTATTTGCGCGGACGAGAGAAACTGTGGTTAGCCTCTTGACTGCGTCTGCTTTCTGCCTCTTGCAGAGCAAGGGAGGGGAAGAGGGAGGGGGTGGTGGGTGTCAGGGGAAAGGGAAAAGGAAAAGGAAAAGGAAAACGGACACTGACCTTCATGGACAAGGGCCCCATTGTAGAACAAAGCCTGCTTCTCCACAGGGATGCCCAACCTCTTGTGGAGCGCCAGCTTGATATCCGCTATAGTCTTGTGAACTATGGATATCCTCTCGACCTGGCCGTTATACCGGACGAAAACAGATGCGCCGCCACCGCGAAGTGTGAGAACGAGATGGAGTAAGGATTCCTGCCGCAGTCATTAGCACATCGTACAAGGGGTCGAAAAACTGCCGGAGACGCTAGCTCACATTTTGGATATTATAGTCACTCAAGACATGAACTAACGAAAGTCAGCGGCTATAAATGTTTTTTTTCGTGGCCGTGCAGAGAGGAAAGAGAAATAGATACCACCGGAGTCCTTACCATCCACAAGCTGCTTCCCCTCGAATATCAGTCGTTGCATGTCCACCGGTATGCCTTCCTTGTCCCGGATTCGAGTCTTGAGATTTTCCACTGTGCTAGACAAGTCGCACTTTACGACAAGCTTCTTACCGGTTAGGGTCATGACGTAAACACCATGAAGAGGGCGTTCCAGACGTAATGTGTCTCCCTATTTATCCAGGTCAGCGCGCTGCTCTCTTTACAAATACAAAAGAGATTTGGTGCAGGCAACTTGCATCCATTATGCGGAGTGAACTGAGCGTGTATCGTCCGGCCTCGACGGGGTCCAAGTATGTCTTCCCCGAGTACAGACGTTGCGCGCGACGCGGGATATCCATGACCTCCTGCTGGATACGGTCGCCGAGCTCGTCAAAGGTACAGTCCGGTTCGCACTCAATGGTAACAGCCTCGATGGAATCCTCAGGCGTGATGTGAATTCGAATCGGCCCTTTGCCCTGCTTTCCATCTCTGTACGGGCTGTAAACGAGATCGAACGTTGGAGAGCTAAAAGTGGCCATGTCGATCCTGCCACTGAGAACGGTCCAAGTATCGGCATGTGCGGCAGAACGGTATGAACTGATCTCATAGGCCGAAGTCGACAAGCCTGTCGCCTTTTCGATCTCCTTGCGGAGCTCTGCCGTGGTTGCTGACTCTTCCAGAGCAATGTACATTCTGTACACGGGGTTCTTGCCGCCGTATCTCGGAGATATCTTCCAGTCAGAACTCACGACGCACAGAAATCGTAGCCCGGATGCGCCAGGTGGGACCTGTAAAGTCAGCATTTTGTCTCGTTGACAAACTAGGAATGAGGAGGGTATCATATATACCCAGACTAGACTCTGCTGCTGCGGGTTCTGCAAGCGTTGTGCTTCTTCAGAGTTAAGACCGCTGGGGGCCTTGTTGTCAATGTTCCTCTTCAACGCAGAGAGGTCAAACCAGGATCCCAGTGGTGCCAGGCCTCGAACACCATTCCTTGCAGTCGATACGAAGCAAAGGCTACCGTCTGACTGCATCTTATCCTGAACAATAGCCACGACTTCGTCCCAGGCATCATCTTCTTCGAACTAGACACGGTTGTTATTGACCGAATCCGACCAAATCAAGTCGATTTCATGTTGATTGAACTTACCAGTAAGGTAACCGTTGTGTCGGGCTTGTCATAAAGACCGACGTTGACTATCCACTGAGCGACCCGGTCCCGCTCTGCTTCCAGTTCGATTACATCCTGCGCAGTCAAGGGGACCGGCGCCTCACTCAGCAGGTCTCCCAAGAGCTTGTCTCGTTCCTGAGGAACGTGATTCAGATCCTTGACATGTATCATATCGCCTACCAGCAGGCCTTCCTCCTCGGGTGTCTTTAGGACATCGAATTTCCGAGCGCCTTGGGGACGATTGAACTCGGAGCCTGTGTAGTTCTTCGCAGAGGAGACACACATCTTCTCAAGGTCGAAAGTGGGTATGATCTGCAGCTGGAGCCCGCCGACTTCGTCCCCGCCCGTTACTTGCCACTCGATCGAGGCGCCGATGGGTCCCTGCGTTTCCTCGTCGGTGTCGTCTCTACGAGACTTGCCGTGGAGCTTCACGCGTCCCGTCCCGCAAGAAACCCTCTGCTCCCTTGGTGGACCTCGCTGTGGAGGTACCATCGCGGTTGCAACAAACTGTTTCACTATTCCCGGCCGCGTGGCGACGCCGTCCAGCCATCGCTGCTCCGGAAGCACGATGTAGTCCTGCTTTGGCGTGTTCGGCCGCCGGAGTACAGAGCCCATGTTCCCTACGGATGCTTCGCCGGAGATGCCGTTCACGCCTCCGAGAAAAGGGCGGATGACGAACTTCTTCCGATCGAGCTCCGACTTGTACTGGAATTGGATCCACACGGCCTCGAACTCTTTTTCCAAAGGTTAGTGAATAGTTTCTTTGCTCGGGGCACCGTGACTCCACTCACGGTACATAGGCATGAACAATCCACCTTGTGCGACCATCTCTGGGGGCAGCATGCCGCTGAAGGGATGAATGTTGAACAACGGCACCCGGCCGAGGCCCGGCGGCAGGTCGTAGTCCTTCGAATCTTCCGGTATTCTAATTGTTCTCTGGAATGAGATGACCAGCTGCGGTTCCCCTCCCCTCCCCACTGTGATCGATTCCGAAGAAACCCGTGAGAAGGGGCTCGAGTCCTCGTAATCAGCTTCCCAGTCTAGTTTTGCCTCGAGGGGATCGGGAAACACTCGGCTAAAGAACGCGGCAATCTGTTGAGTTTGGTTGATCTTTAACCCCCGAGACCTGTCGTAGCAGGGCCGGCCGGCCGTTACTTGGACTGGGGTCGTGGACATATCGCGCCAAATGGGAGGGATCGCTGTTTCTTGCCCTTTGAATTTGAAGCTGAACACCGGTTTGATGCCTGTAAACGAGCATAGCGCGTTAGGGAACTCGGACTAGCGGCCCGTGAACGGCGGAGACATACCTGGCAGCAAGAGACCTAGTTTCGATAATGGAGTCCCCGACGGGAGGTGCAACACGTTAGAGCAAGTCCGGTCGGCAGCGTAATTGCGAAGATTCAGCTTTTTGCGAAGGCCGCTGATTTGAACTTTCACCGTCTCAAAGGGAAACACCGGGCCAATAGCCGGCGAGGAGATTTCTGCATTGTGCTTTGTAAAGATTGAAGGGACGACCGAGCTTCGGGTCGATGGTCGTGTGCTGTCACTCATTCTCACGGGCAGAGTGGACGAGTCTGTGGCCAGGGACGAGGCAGAAGTGCCAAAGGACTCAGGAAATGGGGCTGACGGGCTTCTCTGTTTTCAGTTAGAAGCTGAATTTTAAAATACAGAATAGGTGACCTACTGATGCGAACGACCTATCAATAATCGCCCGTTTTGAGCTATTAGTGGAAACGCTGTTGAGAGAAGCGATGACTGTCGCAGCAGTTGGCTGGACGTCAATTGGGTCCTTAATAGTTGATCCTAGCAATACTGACGGATGAGCTGTTAGAATTGGTTAGTGGACGGCGCGGACCAAGGGAAGAGATAAAGCCGAGCCTGTTCCAGAGACTTACTATCCTCGTTTGCCTGGTAGACAATTTCTCTGATTGCGGCTTCTATCAGCAGATAGCCCTGGTCTTGTTGACTGCGGAAGCGGCAGATGCTTCTGTGATGGGCATTCATGGGAATGATCATCTCATTATGGACATTGAGCACAGCGGAGTACTCGGGAACAACCTGAGCATCATTAGCAAGGGCTGTACAACACTTCTCGTGGCTAGGGAACCCGGTAGATACCAATGTGGTCAAAGGTCGCTCAATCTGCTGTTCCACAAAGCTCATGAGCCTTAGCTTAGTCGCACGGTGGGCGAACCGTCTGGAGACCTCCGCAAGCATGTCCGAGTCCCGGTCAATGTTGCGCAATAGAGACTTTTTGATTCCCAACCCAAAGCTCACCACATTCACAATGTTGGATAATAAAAGAGCCCAGGGGACGAGCTCTGACCCTCGATGAGGTGTAGCCATGAAAATAATGCCCTTGGTCGAGTTGAGAATGTCCCCATAGAAATCGGCTGCGTCGTGTGCTATAACAAGGGCCTGAAATGATTAGTAAGTGATGAACTGGGATGCAGCAGTGACCACCATTTGCTCACATTCTTAACCAGTATGCCACCTAGACTATGGGCAATGAATACCAAGGGACGATGTTTTGCCTACGCAACAGTCAGTGTTCTTCGTTTCTAGGGCTCGCGGTCGAAGAATCCGATAGGTAATACTTACCTCATAGCTCGAACGAAGCATTCTCAATCGATTCAAGAGATCCCGTGCAAAGCTCTCTACGCCTGCCTTGGATCTGTTGAATGCTAACCCTGAGTCGTACCCAAAGGTCATGATCCTTGCTTTCGGAAAGGCATCCGGGAGGAAATCCTCCAGCCAGAAGCTGCCCGAGACCGGGTCAGTCCATGTCTTTCTGGCAGTTCCATTTAAGCCATGGATGGCAACGAGACTAATACACCCGCGTGAGTCAACAATGCTCTGGGGCCGCCTTTCGAAGGACTGTACATACTCAAGTTCTAGTGCCGAAGCCTGCACATAGACCTCGGGCGTCGGGTACAGCACGAAGAGGCCGTGAGGCTCGAGTTCAAAGTCATGGGAAACACTCGAACTAGGTTGGGATTTTTGCGTTCGCGGTGGTTGTGTTTGTGGTGTTTGTGCCATGTTGTCTGCGTCGCCTGGCCATTCGGTGTTGCGCGAGTTATCGGTGGTACCCTAGGTCGGATCAGCGGTTTTTTTGTGACTAATTAGCTCATGGTTAATGCCAATATATACTGTTGGATTCGGGTCGATGACGCCCTTTTTCCCACTCATTAAGCCCTTAACAATTGCCTTCATCTTGACTGAGCACAGAGCAAGCAGTTTGACACAGCAGGCGGAGAATTCGAGCGGGGTAGAGCATGATGTTAGTCCATAGTTAGTGCAACCACTGATGTTAGGTCAGCCGCAAAATGGCGTTCATAGTCTGCCTTGTAAACCAGTGAAAGACATCTAAGCCACTGCGCCTCTAACTACCACCACGGACAGCTGCCTACTCTCGGTCACGAAATTAATTCCTGCCGAAGTTCCTGTTGTAGTCCTGATTCCATTCTTGTGTGATCATTCCCGCCCCATACCCGGGATGCCGGCCACCTGGGCCAATCATTTGTCTTATCACCCACGACGCGCGCCTTTCGCAATGACTGACTGACAAATGTGCCGCGGTGCGGCAGCGGAACATTGTTTTGTTCTGGTGTGTCAGCGCGACCCACTCTAAATTACATCATTCATCCATCACAAGCTATGTGTAACGAGTCTTTGGCATCATATCTCCGATGCACGCCTTAAACACTACGAGTGAACGACAGGGAACAACCGAGAACAACAATTGTTTTCTAATCAAGGTGTACATCGAACAGTGGACACGGAGAGTGATAAAATGATGGAGGCCCTTCCCATCCTCGAACTCTCAATCTCGGTATCTCATCACCCAACCTGACGGTTCCTGACCAGAAGTTCCAGAACACAACTCCATTAATAATTACTCCATCAAGCATCTACCACAAAACACCACCACTTCACGCTGCGCTTTAACCAGTTGCACTTTTGCCAACTCCTCTCGTACTGAAATCCATTGATGATTGATCATCAACACTCGAACATGTCTCCCAAGATCGTCACCGTCGTTGGTGCTACCGGCGCCCAAGGCAAAGGCGTTGTGCGCGGCTTCATCAATAACCCAGCCTACAAAGTCCGCACCATTACCCGCAACCCTTCCAGCGCAGCAGCCAAGGCCCTCGCAGACCAGGGCGCCGAGGTTGTAGCAGCCGACCTGGACGACCTCGCTAGCCTCAAGACCGCCTTCGCGGGCTCGCACATTATTTTCGGCGTGACTGACTTCTTCGCGCCCTTCATCGCCCACCAGTCCCCTGAGAAAGCAATGGACGTCGAAGAGCAGCAGGGAATCAACCTCGCCCGTGCCGCGGCCGCCACCTCGACCCTGGAGCACTACATCTGGAGCACCCTGCCCAACTCCGAAGCCCTGTCCAATAACAAGTTCCTCGTCCCGCACTTCTCCGGCAAGAACCGCATCGACAAGTACATCCGGACACAGGAGCCCGCCCTCCTAGCCAAGACTACCTTTTTATTCGTCACCTGGTACCATAGCAACTACTCGTTCCCGGTCTTCCGCCCTGTACACGTCCCTATCGCAGACAAACAGGTCTTAATCGGCGCGTACGACCCGACCACGCCGATCCAAACGATCGGCGATGTGTCGGTGAACCTCGGCGCTTTTGTACGTGCGGCGGTTGAGCAGCCGGAGAAGACGCTCGGCGGGAAGACGGTGCTGGCGGCGATTGAGACGCATGCCGCTGCGGAGCAGTTTGCGTTGTGGGCGAAGGCCAAGGGTAAGCAGGCGCAGTATTTGAAGATTGATGGACAGGCGTATCGCGAGCTGTGGCCGCTGTGGGGCGAGGAGATGGGAGTGATGATGGACTTTTGGGAGTGGGCGCGGGAGAACAGCTGGACGCTGCCTGGGGGTGAGAAGGTTGTTGGGCGGGAGGAGCTGGGGATTACGGGGGTGCAGAGTTTGGAGGAGGCCTATAAGGGGTATGAGCTCTGATCGAAAAAGGATGGGGACGAGGTTGCGGTAGTGTCATTGGGGGATGTCGATCGTTAGGTACATACCGAGTGGGGCATAAATAGGTGGATGGGACTGTTGTTGTTCGGGTTAGACTGTCGCTTACGATAATAACGGATCTCTTATTTTATTTTGAATTTGCTTGCTGTTCAGCTCTTGATTACCTTTACCATCAGGGGTGAATTCCTTGTTACATTGCGCCCAGGATTCGACATGGCATTAAACACGAACCCAATCGCGACCCCAAAACGCCAAACTCCTCCAAGATCTAGACATCGTACGCATCCCTTCGATAAACCCGCCAAGGGCTCGTCGTGTTGTTGATTATGCCTCGGCCTTTGCCTCCTGCTCGAGCATCCAATACCCTCCCAACGCCTCGTACTCCTTCTCCCAACCCGGCAAAATCTCCTCCAAATCCCCCACCCGCACATCCCTCATCTCAGTACACATCGCCGCCCGAAACCTATCCGTCTTATTCGGCATATAATCCGCCCCATCAAACGTCATCCCGACCCTCACACTCTTCCCCGGATCCTCATCCGACTCCGCCCGCTTATAATTCCGAAAATACCCCCCCTTCACCTCCCTATTCCACCGCATCGCCTCCAACGAAACCGATTTCACCAACCCCCCATGCAAAAACGCAATCCCACCCCCCCCACCACCACCACCACGACGATCCGGATGATACTGCGCAAACGAATGTCCACAGTACGTCCCCTCGTTCAACGTCCCCACACTCGTCAACCATCTGCTTGGCCGGCCATACTCTGTACGCAACGCATGCCACGCGAACCGAAACATATCCTTATCACCTAGCAGGAACGCGTTGTAGTATTTCCCCTGCTGGATGTTCAGCCACGCTGCGAGCTGCAGGTGATACCAGAAACGGCGTTTGTCTACCAACATCTGGCCGCTTTCTTGCTCGTACTCGTCCATTCGGCAGTGGGTGTTGGTGATGGCCCAGGCGGGGTTTTGCGGGCGGGTGCGGGCGATGTCAGGCCAGAAAACGGTGTGGTATTCGCGGTAGGCGGTTGAGTCGAAGAGGGTGGAGGGGTCTAGGATGGGGATGTTGTCGGAGTCGAGGAGGAGGGGTTCGGCGAAGCGGGAGTTGATGAGGGCTGCGGGTTTGAGCTGGAAGTTGATGATGTCGCTGTCTTTGCGGACGTGGAGGATGTTGTGCGGGAGGGAGAGGTCGTTGAAGGTGGTGTGGGGGTAAAGGGCGGCAAGGTCGTGGCGGTTGGCGGGGGACATCTCGTCGGCCCAGTAGTGGACTTCGATGGGGATCGTGGCTTTGAGTTTGGTGAGGCGCCGGAGGACGACTTTGAGTCGCATGGTGGTGTCATGGTTGCCGGCGAGCACGACAATGCCCCGGCCGGAAAACTTGTCCTTCACTGTCTCCCAGGGGATCATGTCGTGGGTTACGAAATGCTGCCATGCCTTGCGCCGGGCGTCGATTTCTTCGTCCGGTCGCTCCTTGACTACCCAATCGGAATCAGGGGTAAACTGGAAGTTGACCTCTTCGTCTTGAGACCAGTGGCATGATTCCTTGGCCTCGGCGATGGTGATGCTCTTTTGGCGGACCACGGCCGCAAAATGGTCCCGAAACGCATCTGGATTGGGAAGTGTGTGAGCTTTGGGATGGAGTTGGGCTGCCTTTGTTGGTTTGGTCAAGAACGTGTCTGGCAAAAAGTTCGTCGTTGGGATCTCTGAAAGGACAGAGAGGTTATGATAACCAAGGAAGATGAGGAGAAAGACGACGGCTACCCCCACTACCGCCCGGGTCCTCCTTGAGCCCACCATGGCAGGTCTGCTGTGGAAGTGGGCAGTCGAATAAACCGATAGCTTCAATGTTTCACAATCATCCAAATATCGAATAGAAAGGGGTCACGCAGGCAAGAAAAGTTGGGTGCTAGCTATTTCTTGACGAAAGAAAGGGAAAATAATAAACGTCTGCTCACCTTCCCATCTGAAACTCGCCCGCGAAGATCAAGCCGCTCGGTGGCTGCCATGGGGCAAGCCATGAGTGTGGTGGGTCCCTGTGATACGAGAAGGGTAGTTGCTTGCACCCTGGCTCTAGCCACGCGTCACAACTGCACCTTGCAAGGCACTCTCCGGACTGGGATGGGGGGATTTGGCGACTGCCCGTTCCAATGGTAGCTAGCGAAGTACATGTGAGTTTAGTGTAAACTACTCTGTAAGATGGGCACGTCGACTTCCTTGAATGCTTCAAACGCGCATGTGAAAACCCTGTGAAAGCTCGGGATGGATGCGACGTGCGTCGTTAGGTCGTTCTCGAGTCCGTCCGCCGCCAGCCCTGGACCTCCTAGGATCAATTGTGTTTGCAGCCCGTCGCCAAGTTCAAAATCTCGCTTCGCTATTTCTTCCCGCTTCAGCCTCAGCACACGCATGGCCGGCCAATATCATCTGCAAGGTGTTGGTTCGAGCACATGTCAGCAGTCGGACTTTTCGATCCCGAAAGACAGCAGGGGTTCGTTCGTGCTCAGTTTGGGACCCCCGTTAGCTTACCGTGGAAGACAATTCTAATGTTCCCAATCCCCTCCCGATATCGCTATCCATTACACTACAAGTATACTGCTAATCACACACAGAAAACAACCCTTTCTCAAAATGGCTCAGAGGGAACCGCGATCGAGATCGAACGGCGTGGTAATCAGATTGCGTCATCCGACCGGGAAGCCCTAGGAACAGCGGGAGATCAACTGGAATTTGGGCCCACAGTGCGGCGATCGAGCGCTGCACCCTCGGGAATCGAACCAAGTACCGGGGTTAGCGGCTGGGCAACATCACAAGCTGTCGATGGTATGAGTTGGAAAATCGCCAAAATATAACGAAATAAAGTAGATCCCGCAGATGATCCTGATACCTTCCCACAATGCTTCACAAACCATCCTACCTTAACCTGTACACTACTTCTAAATAGGTATGTCTGAACTGTGCCTCATCAGAGAGCGCGCCACATCGAGAATGTGGCGCATGGGACCCACCTAAGCAAACAGCCCTCTGAGAGCTTTTGTTCAAATGCACAACCACTGTAACTATCACTTTTTTCGACAACAATCTCATTTGTAAAAGAGAAAGTAAAAGTAAAGAAACGATGCGCAGTTGTTCTTAATCTAATAATCAACATGAATTATACCTCGATAACTCTGTAATCATTTAACTATCACTTCGTGACACATTTTCTCTGCACACCCCCACCTTCTCCGTATCGCTGAGTTTCTCGTTATCCATCCGCAGAGCAACAGAAACAACAAAAATCGACCGAGCGGAATTCTCACCGGTTCTTTTTTTTTCCCGATCTTCTATCAAAACCCGGGCATAGAACCGAAGCTTGCCAAGTGAATGTCCTTAGTAATCTCCATCCTCTATTCCTACGAGCCGAGTTAAGCGATTTGGCTTGTTTACTAAACAAAAACACGAAACCTCACGACGACGACAAGACAATAAAATTAATAATCGTGAAAACATTTCGAAAACGAACGATATGGAGACGAAATCCATGATGGCGGGTACCCAACTCTCTATAAAACCCCGACGCCTCTTCACAGGTTTCCCCTAGATCTCGAGACATCCCACATCAACTGCCTCTTCAATCTCAAGCACATATATCCCGCTTCACAGTCATACCAACGAAAACGCTCACAATGTCAACCCCCTTCAAAAACATCCTCCTCATCGGCGCCACCGGCTCCATAGGCAGCTACGTCCTGACCGCCCTCCTTGCCGAGCCTTCCCTTACAATCACCGTCCTCAAACGCGCCTCCTCCACCCACACCACTCCCCTCCCCTCACCCATCCGCACCATCACAGTCCCCGACACCTACCCCACCGACGCCGTGACCGCCGCCTTCCGCGGCCAAGACGCCGTCATCTGCTGCTTGACCACACTCAATGTCGCCGACCAGTTCCGCCTGATCGATGCCGCCATCGCGGCGGGGGTACGCCGGTATGTGCCGAGCGAGTATGGATTGAATAATATGCGACCTGATGCGCAGGCGCTGAATGCGGTGTTTCGGGAGAAGGGGGCGGTGCAGGGGTATTTGCGGGGGAAGGCGGCGGAGGGGGTGTTGGAGTGGATGAGTGTGAGTTGTGGGATGTGGATTAAGTGGTCGTTGAGGAATGAGTTTTTGGGGGTGCATGTGAAAAGGGGGGAGAGGAGGGTTGTGTTGTGGGATGGGGGGAAGGGGAGGTTTAGTGTGAATACGGAGGAGAATACGGCGAGGGCGGTGGTGAGGGGGTTGGTGGCGATTCCGGAGGAGACGAAGAATCGGAATGTGTTGATTGAGGAGTTTGCGGTGACGCAGAGGGAGTTGGTGGAGGAGATTGAGAGGCAGATGGGGGAGAAGTTGGTGGTGGTGGAAGAGGTGGATAGTGTTGAGAGGATTGCTACATTGCAGGCGGCGGCTGATGCCGGGGATCAGATGGCGACGATTGGGCTGGTTGAGGCTGGGTTTATCACGGGGCGGTTTGGCGGTGATTTGTCGAAGGAAGGAGAGATTTTGACGGAGAAATTGGGGTTGGAGAGGCACTCGCTTCAACAAGTGGTTGCGGATGCCTTGGCTAGCTTGAAGGAGTGATAGAAGCGACGGCTGACGGAGGTGTTGATGCTAGCAAGGCGCACTTACCAATTTCACGTTCTCTGTTCTTGATATCCGGGGGCCGCGATCGGTCAATTCAAGGCGCAATCCCCCAATTTGCGGATGGAGTGTAAGAAATCGGAAAAACTGGTGCTAGAGTAGGTGCCAACACGACTGCCTCGGCACAAGTAGAGGACCACTTGAATGGCAGCAACGACTCTGTTGTTTGGGTAAATCCGTGGCCGAACGAGGTATATAAACCGATGGCCGCAGACTTCAAAGACAGCAGAACTCTGTCTTCATGGCACATTCTGATGTTCACTTCAAGTTACGCTTCTCCTTCGCCGAGACCCGGTCGAATCTGGCCCGTATTCTACCTCCTTGCGATGCCTCCGACGGATAACATCCAAACACAAACATCGCCAATACAAGCTTCTCAGCCTTCATTACGTCCCAGCCTCGACTTTCTCCTTTTTCAATGGGACGGAACCCAAGAGCGCCAGCTCACCAGAGACGCATCCGCAAACGAGAGTAAGAAATTAATAACTCTGCAATCCCTCCGTTGGCCGCGCTAATGAATTAAGCTCACAGCAAGATGGCCGAATAATCGGAACATCGGAACCGTGGCCCGGCAACAAGTGCCCGTACCTCGTCACCTGGTCATGCATACGAACGGTCTGATGGGCTACTTTCTTGCAAGGTCGGCTCTATCAAGTCTGAGACCCTCCATCTTTTGAAGACTTCCAGAGGTCGCTTGGTTGTGGGCGGTGGTTCCCAAGGCGAACCCACACGGTAACGCATCTCGGACGGCCACACAGGTCGACTTGATTGCCTTGGCCATCTCGGAGAACCGAGATCCAGTTGCTCAATTCAGTTTTTGGTGGCATACACAATTGGGATTGTGCCGATACCGGCTCGTACCGCATCCCGATCACCAGCCAGTTTGAGTCGGTCGTCGTCGTTCATATACCTCATCCGCCGGTCGCGACACTCAAACTGAGAGTTTACGGGCGCGTAATCCTCCGCCTTTTCACCTGGTACTCTCGCCCTGGTACGAAGCAGTTGGGGCGACTGATGGAAAAGGCGATGCTCGGTGGGGTGGCCGGGGTGATGCCGGTCGGAGATGACCACGTACCTAACAGAGGAGATGAACGAGAGCCAGAGGGAGACGGAGTGCGGGGATCCCTCAAGGAGGGAAGCTTGTTTCTGGTTTCAAGTTGCTTGTGTTTGAAGTTGTTAGAGAGGACGTTTAAGTAATTACCTTTGTACCACCCTACGTTTCACATGAATTACATGTCATTTCGCAAGCTGAGACAAAAGACAATGGTCCCTTGCCTCAGCAAATGGTACCCTTTTATACTGTGACACAAGCTCACAGCAACAAGAAATCAACAAACACCTTGACTTGGATTTGACCTATCCTTGATATCTTGCGTTGAAGTCACTCGGCAACTTTCCATCCTGGCCACCCTTCCCACACTGATCCACCACGCTCTTTACATCGGCATCGTCATCCCCGGCAGCTTGTCAAACCCTACAGCGTCTGATCAGTACCAAAAACCACGCCAGATAACAATAGAAAGAAGAACTTACACCCATCAACATCCTCATCAACCCTAGTCGGAATCGAGCATTTATTCGCCTCCTCAATGGTCTGGGTATTAATGCCCGTACAGCTGGCCCCCAAGCAACCGCCATCCATAGCCCGTTGCAGCGAATCTCCTTTCCACCCAAAGACATAGTCGCCGTGTTGGCCGTAGCCTGTCGTGTCGCCTGTTGATAAGACGAAGGGCTGGGAGCCGTCTTCGGGCCAGTCGTTGGGGTTGTTGAAGATGGAGGTGTCCCAGACGATCTGTCGGGGAGGGCGGGGGGGAAGGGGGGAATGTTAGTATTGTTCATGGGGGTGATGAAACAAGGAGAGTAGGGGTGGGAGTGAGTGGGTTATGATAAGTACCTCGAGCATGATTTGCGGGATCTTGACCGGGTGTGTGTCCGGGCATTGTCCGCCGACGCTGGAGCCCGTAAAGGCTGGGGCGCCGTCGATTGGGTAGGCTACGTGGGACTTGTGGTCGGGCGAGTCGAGGTTTTTGCCGTCCCAGCAGCTTTTTTTGTCACTTCGTGTTAGCAATGCCATACATACCACCGTGAAGTATTTTTACCTTGTCTACCACACATTGGAAAGACGGAAGGGGGTCTAGGAAGTGGGTTACATACGTAGGATACAGCACATTAGACCGAATACCATGGCATTGTTTGTTGGGCAACCCCTCGGTGTCGAGATCGGGGTCGGCACAGGGTGCTGCGTTGTCGCCGCCGTAGTTCGGGCCGGTGTAGCAGCGGAAACAGGTCTGGGATTTGCGGCCGGAGCCGATTTTCTCGCGCTGAGCGGCGTCGCCTACTAGCATGCGGAAGCCCTGGGGGGTTGTTAGTGAGTGAGGGAGTAACCGAGTGGGGGGCTGGCGGTGAGTGAGGAGGGGGCTGAGTTGGGGGTGGTTAGATGTAAGTTGGAATGCTTGGCTTACAGGCTTGAAGGCGGTCACGCCACCTTTGCCGGGCGAGACATAGTAGACGACGAAACCGCCGTTGGTTTGGGTGGTGAATTGATCACCGAAAAGAAGCCTGGCAATCGGATGCGGATACAGTTGTGAGCCACGAGATAATCACGGATGAGGTTGGTTAGGGACGTACCGGTTCGGAATCTGAGGCACACGCTTATAACTCCCGTTCCTAGCCCGAAAGTACATGTTCGCCGTCCAGTAGTTGGACAAGTCGTCTGAGTAACTACACGTAGTACAGCTCGCCAGTTCCCCGATATCGTCCGTGGGCATGGTCACATTGAAGGTGTTACCGCCTATGACCTGGTGCATATGCGGCGACGGGAGCACTCCTGGGTTGACCAGCGGGTCGATCCGGTCGATGACCAGCTGGGAGCAGCCGAACCGGAGCATGGTCGCGGCATTTCCACCGCCACCACCGCCAAACTGGGGTGCCGCTTCGGTGAGAGCGGCTAGGAGGAGGGCGGACCAGAACATTGGTGCGGTTAGAGGTGGGTGGGTAGGTTGAGGAACGGGATTGATCTTTCGGTAAGGAGATGACGGTAGAAACAGAGCGAAGTAGTACGTCACTTTGGCTGGGAGCAAGAATGAGCTCTGGAATGGCGACTAGATTTTAGGCGCCAAGACGGTTCTATGGGAAACAGTACGAGCCTAGTTTGTTCCTTTTAAGAATGTGAGACGGCGAAACCGGGCAGCCTGCCATCGTCCCGATTTCTGAGAACGATCACTTCGCTTCTAGAACAATAGCCGGGTTGTATTGTCCTGCGCTCCTTCGGACCGTCTTTTTCTCAGTTCATTTACCGTTGATAGACGTGTAATATCGAGTTTGCCCCTCGGCCTATGAGGAAGGTTGGTCCCATTCAGAGAAGCGAAAATGACGTTTCAAGCACAGCTGCGATGCTGCCCGGCCTGCATGTGAGGTTGGGACATCTGCCGAGATATCCGGTTGACGGCCGTGGATCGCCCACGGCAAATCGCGGGGGTTTAATATAAATAAATAAAGTTCCGACGCACACGTGTGGGCCTTTCGGGCAAATTACCCATGAGGTTGTATCACCAACCCAACGACACCTCCTGAGCCCCTCGGCACTTTCGTCGGCCCCTGCACTACGGTTCTTCTTCGATATGATCGACCGAAGGTCGCCGAACCTTTTCTTCACCCCTCATGGTTTGTTACTTGATCGAGCGGCCTGAATGAGCTGGGACCGGTTCTTGACCAAGATCACTACGACACTTCGAGGGCGTCGCATATCCACTCGACAACGATACCGGGACAGAAGTCCACGAAACTGACGAGAGGTACGAACAGCGAATTTTAGGCTCTCTTGAGCCATTATTTTACAAGGCCCATGATGGTGATATAATACATGAACCACGTTTTAACAACAACTATTCAGCCTCTACGTTGCCTCGGCGTTGGCCGGTCACTACGTTGTCCAGTCTTGACCAACACCCCCCGGCAAGAGACACTTAACTTCCTTGTTCTTTCCCATCCAAGGGAGAAGCATGGTCGCGGTCCCAAATGCCCGATCACCACTACTCTGTTCCATTGGGTATGAGCTCGGCGAGTTTCGGCTTCCGTTACGTCGGCAACCCTAAAAACAGAAAAGGAGCAAGGTCATGACAGATACTCCTCGACCCGGGAGCCATGTCCGCGTTCACCTTCCGGTCGAAGATCCGGAATATCGCCGACGATCCCCTGTAGACTAGACTCTTCCATGTCTCTCTCCTGCCGTATTCGGCCGTGGAATCAAGAACGGATCATTCTTTGGGCCCAACCCAAAGCCGCTTTAGGGAGTCGAAGCGCAATCCGATCTGTTCATGGGGTTACTGACCTGGGGAACGTCGCGCCGGCAAAATGCATCATAAAGAGAGGCCATCAAAAGTGGGTTTCTGATAGGCTCGGGGTAATACTGACACTCTTAACCCCCACAACTGGTACACTGCTGCCCGGCACTTGGCAACGCAACTTCCTTGGATTGTGATGATAGGGCAGTTTTTCGCATGGCGATCGTTTTGCCGGTCCAGGGAGGACATGGGGAGGTTGATAGATATGACGGAGCCGTGGCAGTCTTAAGTTGACGTCTCGGCTTCCCTACTTAAGCAGAGACTGTCGCTCTGAAACCGTTTGATGCTTGTGAAAGAATTTCGACACAGCGATACCGTAAACAAACACGCTGACTTACACAATGTATTGGCTGGGTCTCCTCGCCCTGCCCGCCGCTGTGCGGGCGCAGTTTTCGACCACTATGCTGCGTTTCGGCTGCTCTGAGCTGACCATTGACCGTATCGACCCGTAAGTATCTTCTACCCTGGGTAGCCTCACCTCGCGGTGTTTAACATGAGGGTTAGTCTCGTCGAGCCCGGGCAGATCCCGTCAGCTCACGTCCACCAGATCGTCGGTGGTGTAAGTCCATCCACTGTTTACCCCTGACTGCCCCATGACATCTTTGAGCTATCAATAACACCCCTCCCCTCCAAAAGAACGGCTTCAACGCCTCAATGCCCAGCACCGACATCTCCGCCCTAGCCGACTGCACGACCTGCACCTTCGCCCAAGACAAATCCAACTACTGGACCGCCAGCGTCTACTTCCGCGCGCGCAACGGCAGCTTCAAGCGCGTGCCCCAAATGGTCAACGACGTGATCGGCGACGCCAACCGCGGCCTCACCGTCTACTACACCGCCCCCGGCCCCAACACCGTCACCGCCTTCAAGCCGGGCTTCCGCATGTTCTCGGGCGACGTCACGCGGCGCGAGTCGACGGGGCTGGGCTCGCGCATCCAGAGCTGTTTCCGCTGCTACACGGGACCGAACTTCCAGGGGAACACCTATGCGCCGTGCTCCGACCCCAAGCTCGACACCGAAAGTTTCCCGACCACGCCGTGCCCTGGTGGGATTCGGTCGAGTGTGATCTTCCCGATCTGCTGGGATGGTCAGAACCTGGACTCGCCGAATCATATTGACCATTTGGCCAACCCGACTAATGGGCCGGCGCCGTTTGCGGTGGTGGATGGGACCTGCCCGGACACGCACCCTGTTAAGATTCCGCAGGTGCATTACGAGGTTGTTTGGGATACGAGGGCGTTCAATGACAAGAACGAGTGGCCTGAGGATGGCTCGCAGCCGCTTGTCCTGTCGAGCGGTGACCCGTACGTGAATCCTGATTTTGTGTATTGTGTTGTACTTGGGATATTCGAATGAAAACTAATGGATCTACAGGACCGGCTTCGGGCAACACGGCGATTACGTCTTTGGCTGGGAGGGCGATGCGCTCCAGCATGCCATGGACAACCGATGCTTCGGGCCGACTTGCAATGGTCTGACTACTCAAGATTTTGCCGTTGCCAACAAGTGCCAGGTTCCCCCGGAGGTGAATGAGGATAACGATGGCTGTGAGTATATCTTTTCTGTGTGAAGGTAAATGAGAGTTTGATACTGACGAGTCCGAAATAGGGGTTGACGAGCTTCCGGGCGGTCATATGATCATGTAATTGTCGGGACAAGCTGGGTATGATGTGGTAATCATGGTGAGTTTACGAGGAGCCCTTCGTCGGGAGTTGAGAGATGTTGCCTTTGGTATTGCTTGGATGTGTGATACACTCGTTAGTTAGCGTTGTTTGATCATTCCAACCATGCCTGTTCACTACTTTACCGAGAATGATACACACATTTTCATGTCCAGGCCTAGAGCTGATGCCGGTTTAACATGATGCATGATAGTGAATACTCTATAATGTTATTTACAAGCCAGGACAGTTCGCTCCTCCATCACCACCCACCCCATTCACAACGCATCCACAACCTCCACATCAGCCTCTTCCCCCTCCTCCTCCGGCAAATCATCCCCCAACGGCACCACAACCACCCGACTCTTCCCCAACCCCCCCTTTTCCATCGCCTCCCACTCCCTCAACCTAACTCCCTCATCGCCTTCACCACTACTAGAATCCCCCCCCTCCAACTCAAAAACCCGATAATCCGCATTCATATACCACCGCCCCGTCAACCCCACCCTCAAAAACCCCGAATGCGACACCACCACAATTGCCTTCTGCTTCTTCTCCTTCTGATCGCCATTCTCGCCATGATGGTCGCCATAATACTCGGCATATCGATCCCGAATCCCCGCCAGCGCTCGCTGTCCACGAGCGAGGATGGCGCGGCGCGTGTGGCCGTAGCGGGCTGCGGCGAGGGGGGTGGAGGATTTGTCGGGGAAGAGAGGGTCGACGTGGGAGAAGTTGACTTGTGGGAAGAGGGTGAGGAGTTTAGGGAGGGGGGTGCCGGTGTCGCAGGGGGCGGTGG